TATACTATATAAAAACAGATTATACTTAGCTTTCGGGATTACCTTATCTAAAATGGCCAGCGAGACTTCGCCCGCCCTCTCAAAACATTTTACAGATAATAATAAAGCCCAATTCGAAACCACAGATTCGCTAAAGGAGTTGACTCTGAAATCGAAAATGCGGATTCGCAAGAGCGATTGACCGAAGCCAAGATAATAGCCTCTACTTATTTATATCGCAATAAATCAATTAAAATCCTCGCACTAAATATACTAAAGCAATCCGGCGAAAAATTAAGTCCGATAATATCACAATTTCTGAACAGAAACCCTGTATAAGCTGTACTGCGGACACGTGGACATGCGTTGAAAAATTTCTTGCAAATAAACCAGATCCACGTTGTCCCGATTGCGGTAGTTTTTTCGCGGCTCGGAAGTGCATTTTTCATATATTATTGTTAGCAATTATTATATTTACCCCTTGAATATTTGCTTTGTTTCAATTTCATGATCTTTAATACCGAGTTTTTATACCAAGCAAACGAGTTTAATGTGGGGGGATGGAAATCACAATCCTCGTGAAGGTGAAAAAATCCGGTGTTCTGAAAAGCCTCATCAAAGAATTGTCTGCTGATATTTCCGAAATTTCTGAAGGGGATAATGAAAAATCCAGTGGTGCATCCCAGCCTCATAATTTTTAGTATGATCACCCATGCTGAGTCGAGAATGATACTATGAATCAAGAAGTATTTTGACTTTGGCAAAGCTTTAAAAGAACAACGTAAGGAACTCGTAATAGTGGTGCATCTAGTGCTCTTCTCAATCTCGAGTTTCGTACTCAGATTCCTAACAAAATTACAAAGGAAGCTCTTCGTAAAAGAACTGAAAAGGCCCAAAAATTTTATAAGCTTTTTGCAGCGGTTGGTAAAGAAAAAAATAAGCCAAGTTAAAACTTTGACAGTATCGTCTATCTCTAGATTAAGCTCGGATAATATCGATTATGTAATCTCGAAAGTTTTGGGAAGATCCTAATGTTAATTACTGTGCCACACATTGCACTGTGAGCTCAAACTCACGCTCTAACATAAAATTTTTTGTATAAATCCATAAAGCATTTGTTAGTTTCGCCTACATCTTTAACTTCATGTTTTTGTAGTGCTGATATAATATATATATATGTACTATTAACTACACAATTAAGAATTTTCTTAGTGTTTTCTGAGACCAGAAATTTCAGTCATGTAAACTTATCAAATCGGACATGAGCTCATAATGTCTCATCCAGAAATAACAAAAAATATACTTTATTAATCGTAAATATTTATTAATAAAGATGTTCGGACCCATTTCAGGATTTGACCCTTTCTAAGAACGGGTCAACCCATTCTGGGATCCTGAAATGGGTTGGGCCCATTTCGATTTTGCAAATATGGGATAATCTACAGAAAATTTTTTATCACCGTAACACATACTAATACTAACAGATATTTTATTGGCTATACCAGATATATGATGATACATTGTTAATTGTATACACCCCCCGAACAAGCAATTTATTTATGTATAGTAATAGCAAATAGGAATTACATATTAATAAAAGAAATTAGCGTTTCTAATTATTTGTCGCTTTTATCAACTAGCAGTTATTTGTTAACGTGGAATACACATAGCAATAGATTACATCGCACATATTCCCTCTAACACGCAGGTTTTTATTTTTGAGTAAAAGAATTTTCATTTCGCCAATTTGCATTATATCATATAAAGAATTAGCAATTTTGATAAGCTGCACCACCCGGATTAATAGCATTGTTGAAAAATTAACAGTTCTGATATGCTGCATCATCCAGATTACGAAGTATCGATCGTATTATTGATAGCATTGTTGAAGGTTTGATATGCTGCATCAGCGAGATTACGAAGCATTGATAAGCATTGTTGAAAGTTTTGCCAGATTACGAAGTGTCGATCGTATGGTTGAAAAATTAACAGTTTTGATATACTGTATCGGCCAGATTACGAAGCAACGATCGTATGATTAATAGCATTGTTAAAGAATTAAAAGTTTTGATATGCTGCATCTTCTAGATTGAGCGTATGATTGATAGTATTGTTGAAAAATTAACAGTTTTGATATACTGCATCAGCTAGATTACGAAGCATCGATTATATTATTGATAGCATTGTTGTTAAAGGCGAATAAACAGCTGTTCATTTTTTAATCCTTCATGCATTCAAAATAAACTACTTTAATTATGTTATTAAAAGAAGCATCATCGCTGGTGTACCCAGTGTGTGATAATCGGAAATGATTATAGATTATCACATCGCAAAAATCGAAATGGGCCAACCCATTTCAGGATCCCAGAATGGGTCAAATCCTAGAATGGGTCCGAACAAAGATAATATTTAACAAGCATTAGCATAGCCAAGATACATTAAAACTTTTCAAGTTATTCCATACACGTAAAAAAATTAATGGTAAAATTAGCATCACCTTCAAAAATGCATATAAATGAATGCATATAAATGCATGCATATATTAATTCATATTTTTTAATTTCGTTACATGTCTAATAATTGTGTCTCGACCTCTTTGATTTTTAGGTGCTGTGAATATAATATTACAAAATTAGTCATATCATATATCTGGAGTACTCACCAATGTCAAATTAGAAATTTGCTAGAGTCACAAATTATTTAATTTTCGCATCATCTTCTTTTTGAGATATTAAACTTTTCCAAATATTAATCAATATCTCATCTTTAGCTATAGCCAATCATACAATTTTCCCTACTTGCTCCTCATTCTTTTCCAATTTATTGACTATATTTAGGCAAAGTCAGTCAACTTTCCATACTGTATATTTTTCAAATCTCTCCCCTTCACATTATGCTCGTTATTATCTTCCTCATGCCCTCTCTTTCTTGGTGAATCCATCGCTCCATGAGTTCAGATTCCAGTTTCTGCTTAATTTCCCTTAATAATTTGAGCGCATCTTGATCCCCTATTATCAATAAAAATCATGTATAAAAAAATTTTGCTCTGTAAGAATGACCATTTAAAACTTACTGAGACATGTAGTTACATCTGGTGCTAACGTGAAAGTCTTTGTAATTTCTCATCGCTCCACCTTCTTTTTAAGGTTTGTTATTCCGTGTGCTTTATGATGTCTAGCTTTGACCTTAAAGACTTGAATATAAATGATAGATCAATATTGTTTTGTCACGGTCGGATGGTCTGGGGTTTGGGAGAGCAATTAATCTTTCGCGTAGGGTGTTCTTCCGACCGGGGGTTATTACCAGATTAGCTTCGTCTTTAATATTGGTAGTTGTTCAATTAAGACTGAATTCTAATCTACAAGCGACCTATTTATATATTTAAATTAAATGTGCGCTTCTCAACTCCCTATCCGAGCTTCAAATTGCTCGTAATTTCAATAAGGTACCCCAATAAAATAATAACAACAATTATTTTTATCGCGGAATCGAAGGGAAATAAATTCTATTTAATATTAAACGGGACTATCTTTAATTTGGTATTTTGACTAGTCAAATTCTGTCACTTGTCTCAAATTAATTAAACAATATTCGTTTAAATAATAATTAAAAACTTTCGTTCCTCAATTAAGAGTACTGGATCAACGATAATTTACATAGTTTAAGTGAGTTGTTTTTACAACTTGAGCCGTTTATTAATATCCGGTTAAATAATTAATATTGCAACGATGAAAAAAAGTAAAATTTTGATTTCAAAGGGAACTATTTATTTGATATTTTAATTCCGTGGAGTGGAAAATAATATGAACAAACTAAATAACATATTAATATACAACATGAGAATTTGACGATGGGATAAGACTGCTTATATAACTAGCGATTACCAAAAATTGAAACAAAAGGTATCAGTATAGAAAATTTTCAAGGATCAATAGATTTTAAGTTAACTAGTGGCACTGGTACTGATGCTCAAAATATGTAATGGTGGGTATTGCATACCACTATTCTAAAATTGTTTGATCTATGGAATAATGTTTGATATTGTCCAAGTGTAAATAAACTTATATTCTGCATTATAAAGTTGAGAAGACATAAAAGATTTGCATCTGAAAAATCATCTTTTTTCAGAGAGTTACATTTTGATACAAAGTTTCTTGAAGAATATATTTTTCTTGTTAATAATAAATTGAAAAAGTGACATCTCTACATGTCCAAGAATCAGTTCAACATATGTTCCTTGCTCTGAAGGCAAAAATGAGAACTGCTGTGAGGACAATACTATATCTTCTAGACCTTCTTTTCGTTTCCTTGATCTTCCTTTTCTTCATCATCACTTTTCTTTTCACTTTCTTGGTCTTCTTTCACATTTTCCTGGTCTTCCATATTTTATCTTGATTTTGCAACTCTTTCTCAAGTTTGTAATCGGTTAGGCTTCCTATTGCATGTTGCATTATACTGGAGAAAAACCGTGCTCTCTGGAAAACTGCGCGATGCTTCTTATCTATAATTTTGAGTTTCTTCTTATCCGAGGCGACTTTTTCAGTGCTACTGACCCATGTGTATAAGGACCCATATTTGTCGTATTCTCTCCACTATTCTTAAAGAAGGCGTGAATAGACGATCTTAATGCTTTTTTTTGTTCGAGTACACTGGTATTTTTCCTGAAAGGGGGCTTAGTTTCAATAAGGCATCAAGCGTTGAATCGAGGTCATTCTTAATATTATTGTAAAGATGATTCTTCAGCCAAATCGAAAGTTTGGTCATTATCTTCTATGTTGTGAAGAATATGAAATTTACGCCATGATAAAATTTGTGGATGTTAAGCTTAGCGATAATTCCGGTCGATCAACTTCCGCCTCGATAAATTGGGTATTGTAAGGTTTCGCATTACCAGTGTTGATTTTGTATATAATTATCGTAGTAATCCTAAGTCGTTTATCGTATTTCTTTAATAGCTGCTCGATCCGTTGAATTTTCGTGACTTTGTGGCGGAACTTCTGGTAAAAATTTTTCTACAGCCTATGTCAGAGTTGGGACCGCTAGACAACGATGGCGATGGTGAGGACGCCTGGCTAGGTGCTAGATTTTCAGGCTTAGTAGTTTCTGTTTCTGGGTTTCCGGGTTTGGATGCGATCTGAAGCCCGTATGTGTATGATCAGGTGTCTGTTCTTGTTGTTCTTGCTCTTGTTCTTGTTTTTGTTGTTCGTAATTTTTTACGGCATTTAAGATCGCTCTCCAATTGTCCTTATTTATGTCCTTGATGTGGCCATGATGTATCTCCACGTTAAACATCTCCTCCTTGACGAGTTGCTTCCAAGCATCTTCATCGGTTCCAGTAGTTTTTGTAGTTGCGGTGATATATTCCGGCGGATCGCAAATAGGACAACTGTCGTCGTGGAATAGTACTAACTGTTCCAGTGTTGGATTATTGAAGAGAAAGTGGACGTGTCGGTGAGCCGTTTATTAGATTGTCCGGCCTAATAATCAATTCTTTCGACGATAGAAATAAAATGTATATGTATAATAAAGGATTTCACAACATGAAGATTTGGCGATGGAATATGAGCTTCTTATATATCTTCGAGCGTCACTGAAAAATTTTCACTGATAAAAATTAATTATGCTAATTATAACGCTTTGTACTGTCGAAACGCTCTTAGCTTACCCCTCCCCTGACAAATTTGGCAGGCAGGTAAGTCAAAGGGGAGGTAGGTGCTCATAATAATAAGCTCTTTCCAATAAAGTGTAAAAATTTCTTTATTGTTATACATTTCATAGAATAAGATTATAGTAGAGACAATAGTACAATTACTATTTATGGTACCTCTCCTATAGTGATTGCTAATTTTAGTAACTTCGATTGCCAAACATAGGGGAGATAGCTGATTTAACGTCATCCAAATATCCGCCAACGACTCCAGACAATGCCAAGCCCTCCTCTGAAAATGAAAAAGTAGAATTAGCTTGTTTCTGTCGATGACGATAGTAATCTAGGAATCGAAAGTCCTTTGGGGTGTTTTCGAAGTATGGATCGGTGGTTTGAAAAAATTTAAAATTTTTTTTTATAATCACATGGTCGGATGGTTATTAACGTAGGAACCTCCTATTTTTGTGATCGGAAACTGTCTGATTACTTCGATAAACAATCAAGCGCTTGTTTGTGACATTACAATGGTATGTGAAGAAATTGTTTTAGATAGAAAGCAAGCATGATTGGGTAACATGGCCGTGTGGTGAGTAACCAAATATATCCAGAGTAAACAAAAAAGTAGTCACACGCTGCCAAAATAGGCATCATAGTACAACATAATTATCATAAAGATATCAAAATATAAAGAAAGACTAACGTTACTTTGCAAGTTACGTCGTCGAAATAAAGTCTTACGCATCATATAAAGGAAATACATTACATCGTACTTACGCATTGAATAAAGAAACGTTAGTTTTACATTTACGTGCTGTAACATTTCAAAAGTCAATATCTTTGTAATCGTACCCGCTATGTAGTAAATTATTCTAGTTTTGTAGTATCATTGTGACTTTGTTCTTGTATTCACTCAAAAATCATGTGACTGCCCTTTTTTTTCGCCACTGACTTTTCTCCTAATTCCACGATCTATAGTATGTGTACATGCTTGAGGAGATCGGCGAGAGGATCGGAATGCATCACCAAAGTCATTTGCAAACACTCGTGTCTTTTTTGTACATACTCATGGTAAATATTATTTGCATTTGTGATTAATTGATATCGAATAGTTTATCCACTCTGATTTGTATTTATAGAAGACAAAATTGAAATTTGGCAAATGCACAACCGTGCTCGAGGAATTTTACAATGGGAGCGTACACACAAAGCAATTGTTCCGATCTGCTATGAAGAGCAGAAAAAACCGTCTTTTTGATTGCTCGGATCTAAAAGTATATTTTAACTGTTTTTGCAGATGTTGACTTCTATCCATTTTATTCAGGAAGCTTTGATCAATACGGCAAATATGATCAAACAATTACAGGATGAGGATAATAATAATGTATTCAAGTTATCCAGGTAAACCTGACAAAGAACAGCACAAGAAAGGTATGTGGCAATGAATACCATAATGAAACTGCTTATTCTCCCCATAACAAAAATATCGATATGCGTAGCTCTTCCAATTTGTATCAAATCGCGTCACGTAAAATGCATAATAAACATACTCTAATAAAACCAATAAAATATACTCTATGCTATGTTTGTCAAATTTGTTTAATCTCTGAAGTGACTAACAAGTGTGAAAAAGAAAAGTTAAAAATTATGGACGCATTGTCTCTCCAAACCAAACGCAGACACGAATATCATTCATTTCTAAAAGGAAAAGAGTGGGAATTAATTCACCGCCGCAAATATTGATTGGCGCAGACATTAATATTTAATGTCAAAATATCCTAAGAAGAAATATACATTCCACCTTTTTCCTAGCGTCGCAGAAATACCTCAAAACAATGGTTCTCTGTCCCGACATTCTTATTTTATATTCCTTCACTTTAGTTTCTCACATTATTATGTCTTCATATATTTTTCCTCGTAACTCAGGGTAAAGTACATGGTTCTCTGGCCCGTGCAGGTAAAGTAAAATCTCAAACTGCAAAGGTTGAAAAACAAGAAACAAGAAACAAAAGACCGGAAGAGGTGCGGTCTATAGCAGAAGATTTGTTAACGTTACTCTTACCGGTGGCAAGAGAGGGTAAGCGAACGATAGGCTGATCAGTGCATAGACAATGAGTTTCGACGTTTATTAAACTATTTTTATTGTCGTTTAGATGAACCCTGCTCCAACAAGTGACAAACCTTGAGAGCGTTCAAATAAATAATATATATCTATTAGGATTTCTTATATATGGAAGGAACATTATTAGCCTGTTTCGAAATCTAAGAGAATCGAGATAATTAATAATTACGTTGTCTTGTGAATTAATAAGATGACACATGCGAGGTGTTCGATAATACAAACCATGAGTCATGAGCTCTGGGATTACAAGATCAAACTGTCTAGAGTCTAAGGCCAGATAAATAAATTAATATTCCATGAATTTGGCCTATATCAACACATACACTTCAACGTCTACTTACCTGCAACGGCGCAACTGTTTCTTGGTTCGGGCAGATTATCAGTAGGTAACAGTTTGCTAGAATATTTACTCTCCTTCTCGATGCGTGATAAGGGCCTTATATTATTGTTGTAATAGACGGTATTCCACACGTCATCAGATCCATCCTTTTCTATTTCTGCGATAAGGTTAACGATTTGCACTGCAAGTTCCCAAGCAGCTGGGCGCTTGTTAGGATCCGCATCACAACACCTCTCAGCAAGCTTCTTATACGCTTCCGGTGCAGAATCAGGCATCGTAGGTCGCAGTCCATTACAGATATCTCTTGCCAAATACTCGTCAAATTGCCTATCTCTAAAGGGTGGCACGCCACTAGCGATCTGGTACATGATAATACCAAAGGCATATATGTCTGACTGCTTCGTAAGTTTGCGAGTATGAAAGACTTCTGGCGCAATGTAAGACAATACACCCTGCACGGTTTGATTTGACTCGGATGAATTCACCGGTTTGGAAAGTCCAAGATCGCATATGAACAGTTCCCTTGACTGGGTAGAATCGTTCTTGTTTAAAACTACATTTCCGCCATGGAGATCACAGTGCAATAAAAGCATCGAATGCATATCGTTCAAACGTTGTGCAATATCCTTCAAGCATTCTAATTTCATTTTCCACGTCAGGGTGTTAATATTCTTTTCTAAATAAGACGAAAGACTACCATTATTAGCATGTTGCATCACAACCATGTACTCTTTCATCTCTGTTTGCTGTGTGACTCCATAAAGTTGTAGAAATTTCGTCCACGAGCACTTGGCATGGTTCTTGAACTGGTAAGTAAATAGTCAGATTAAAAATAGCTGCACTTAATTAAACGTTGACAAAATGCATCGAGAGTCGCGCTTACCTCGGAAATGAATAGTTCCGACTTTCCATCAAAATTCTTAAACTGTTTGAGAACAACACATTCTGGCACATCTTCCGAGTGTTCTTTATATTTGGCAGTGTAGACTGTTCCGTAACCGCCGGATCCAATCTCCTCGATTTCATCAAAGTCTTCATACTGCATAAACTTTATCTTGTGATTACTATGCGTATTCTTGATCCGTATTAGTCTATTTAATATCTCGTGTATATCACGGTAGAACACCAAATAATAGTCTCGAGTAGACGGTTCTTGAGTAATACCAATAATCCAAATGTTGTTTGGAGTTAATATGTTCGGATACTCTTTAGTTAGCTATTAAGTAAACACGATACAATTATTACAACGGCTTATGGTTTTCAATTGAACGCAAGTATACATTGTGCGATTTTACCTGATAAAAATCAAATGATTGAGCATCGTCACCGTGTGTGCCAGCTATCTTCTTGAGCATCACTTTTACCAATATGTCTTCGTTCGCTGTTGGTTCTAACCAATTTGCTTCATGGGTGCATGCATGATCTAATGACATTGTCTCTCGTACGTCTGTCAATCGAGAATATTCCATCCATTGTATGTAATGACTCTCAACCTTTTTAGTAATCTTACTCCACGACTGTGTTATAAACGAGTCCAGAGACTTGCTGCCGGTAGTCAAATCAGGAAGCCTTGGTGTTTTACAAGCAAAACAAAAGGCCTTTATATCGCGATCTAACAAGTATGCGCATGCCAAACATAATTCATCTCCGTTGCTTGTTCTAATTAGATAGTATTTCTGCTCTTCTTCATTGTAAGTGAATCCAATAGTAATCCAAGTATTTGTGTCAAGAATATCAGGATAGGTGTCGCATAACTAGTGACCAATTGCAAGTCAATAAAATTGACTAAATAGAACGATATACCACAACGTTATGAAATAACTTAACCTTATGATAGTACGACTCGTCCGTCCCATCCGATATCTCGAGCGGAATCAAATCCACGTCGAAATAAGTAAGAAGACCGTATAAATGTCCAGTCGAGTCATCCTCCACCTTGATGTAGTCGAGTGGGATCCATTCCAAGTAGGCTGCATTCGCTGATTTGGTTTGTCTTTGTGATTTCTTGATAAACTCGTCAAGTTTCTCGTTTTCGCTGGTCCATTTATCTGATATCTTTTTGTGGCCACAAACACACCATGCAGGACTACATCTAAGTATTCCACACGCAGAGCAAAATCCATATAATGAATAATATAGATAAATCTGTCTCTTCGCTACCAAATAAATAGCACCTTTGTAATTTGTAAATCCATATATCAGCTCATTGCGTCGCTTAAGCCATTTCGAATATCTTCTGAACCTATCGGTATTGGGTGGATTTTCGTGCGCGTGTGTTGGAAGTGAATATAACCTAGCGAACTTGTGGCCGTTGAACTCTTCTGTGTATTTATCGTTAATTCCAAGTAATACTACTGACTCGACTCGCTTAGATGATGCATAATTATCCGCTTGTTTATATGAAGCAGTATAAACAGCATGAGTAGAGTGGTCAATCGACTCTATATCTGAAAGTTCTGAGCAAGAAATCCATTTAAGATGATAAGTTTCTAAAACTGGTTTTCCATTCTCAAGAGTTTTAGAAGATTCGATTAGCTGGTCAATTGCCGGGCATCCTGAAATGCCAATGTCAGCTCCAAAGAAGTGTGTTGCTAACTTCCATGGCGAAAACAAAGACATTATTCTAAGCAACTCTGCAACTGGAAAAGTTCAAGTTTTCGAATGACACAAAGTCTACGTGTTACACATGTTGGGGTATTGCGACCCATGACAGATTCATTCAGAGAGCTTAAATTTATTATGAGCAAGATATTAAGATTTATCAGCAAGAGTTACGGTACTGTGCAGAATTTTTTTGTGCACAATAAAATTTTATTTGTGACGCCAATGTTACTCCAATTAAAAAACGGTTTTACAGAATAAATTACACATCAATTATAAATAAAGTTATGCTATTTAACCTTAGGGTAAGTATTATATTTAGCACTATACGTCTACCTCAAAATAATGGAGTCATCTCTCGCACAGCAAAGAAGCGCTATAAGACAATTGTGGGCTAATAATGTACGAAAGCCAAAAGTTCTTTCTGAAACAACAGGTGTCCCGTTGTCTACTGTGTACAGATATGTCACTCAGTTAAAAAAAGATGGCAAGTAGCATTAGCTCCTTTATAATGTCAACCAATTCACTTGCTTTTTGCCTTTTTGAAAATTTCTTAATTGAAATGACAAGCGAAAAGAGTTTAATACAAGTTTACATGTCACCCTTACATTTCCTCCTCTTCCTCCTCTTCCTCCTCCTCATATGAGCTATCATCATCATTATCTACATCAATACTATCCCCCTCTTCTACATCATTATTATCTACATCCATAATTTCCCCATTATTCACATCCTCTACTACTACATTGCCAAACACCCCCTCATACCCATACTCTTTCCTTTCCTTCCATTCTCCATTCTCCTTCTTATAGACTCTTCCTGCAACAGCCACCATCTTCCCCTGAAAAGCGATTCCTAATTCTACAAGTTGTTCCATCTTTTCAGAGACTACAGAACGGTAGATTTTCTTTTGTATCTGCAATAGGCCTTCTTTCGCTTTCTCTAGAATCGTTCTCTTATGATGCTTCTTCCTAACCTTGTACTCTAATATTGTCGCCCTTTTACTTTGCTCATGTTGGATCACAGTATCGCAAAGACCAAGTCCGGCCTCTGGGTTTGATTTGAGGTCGCATCCAGTGAGCTGTGCATGGGTGAGCCAACCCATTAAGTAGCCATGATAAAAAGCCTCCGATTTCTTGCTCGCATTTGACTCGCCAACATCGCAGAAAGAAAGTCCTTGAAGGACGGTCTTGAAAAGAAGCTGGTGGAATGTCTTGAGGTCTCCATTAAGCAGTGCGGTGACAACGTGGCTCAGCCAAGGAGCACCTGGCAACTGCAGCCAGAGTTTCCATTGTTTCCTCACCTCCCTATTTGGAATACACACCATTACTCCACTTTCATCATCTTCATCATCTTCATCATCTTCATCAACTTTTTCGTCATCTTGATGTGAAAGGTAACCCGCGTAGTATAGTAATGTCCACATCGCCGTATCATCCATAAGGGATATGTTTTCGTAATGGAGGCTATCTGAAAGCTGAACCTTGACTGTTTCTCCTTGGATCAATCTCGTTGCAACCACTTTGAAATCGCGCCCCGACTGCCAAATAAGGTCCCGGATCGTTTCCGTAGCGCCTGCAGTGTTCAGAAATTTCCTATTACAACAATGGGTCGAACTAATACAACAAAACGAAATAGCACACTCCTTACCAGTTTCAACCCAGTGACTCTTCAAAACCCCACCCTGAATGAAAGAAACAACTGACCAAGGGTTGTAAAGGGGTATATTGTGTGAGGCGCTATAGCCATCATACCAATTTTTCACTCCATCCAAGTGCTCCAATTTTTGGTGATGCTGAAGGAGGGCAGTAACTTCTTCCTCTGTGAATCCAAATTTGTCTGAGAATGTGGGGTCGAACATTGGATACACTGTCACATTGTTGAAATCTGACAAATAACCAGCTTTAGCAACTCGAGTTACACCGACAAGGAGTGCTTTGTAAATGTTGCTGTCATTAGTCTGCATTATGTTCAATTGCAATAGTTAGTAAGAGCAATACAGTTCATCAGTTCATCAAAGAATGCTCACCTTGAGAAGAGCTCCGAATAGGGTAGCAAACATGTCACGTGCTCCATCGTAGAATCCATTGTGGAAAGCAACGTCAAGAGGGTGATCGTATTCATCGATCAAAACAATGCACTTGCGATTGTAGTAGATTCTCAGGTATTGAGAGAGCTCCTTAAGGATGTCCGACCTAGCATCAACGTCTCTTCCTTTAAGTACAAGATTGAAACGATCTTGCTCGATTGGGTCAAGATAATCGTAAAGATAGTGATGCTCCTTGTATAAACCCGCCACTAGTTGGCGTAATTTTCCTCGCATTAGATCCAAAGTGTTGTAATCTCGAAAATCCTGCTCAAGAATATCGCTCGTTAGCACTGCAATAGCAAAGAGTCAATCAGACACATCATGTCGTTCTTACCTTGAGATCGATGTATAAGACTGGGTACGCGCAAAAATGCATATCAAACAAATCTCTTTTCTCTCTCCAAATTTTTGAATCTCTGAACAGCTCTAGTCGGCGTCCCTTGTTGTCAGGATGGCGGGGAATGGCGAAGAAGTTCTTCAGCATGGTAAGGTTGGTTGTCTTGCCAAAACGCCTCGGTCGCACGACAAGAGAGACAGGCGTGGCGCATTCAAGAAAATCTGAGATAACAAGGGTTTTGTCCACAAATGAAAAGCCATCATACACTATTGCTTCAAATACATCTTTGCCAACAGGAACAGCATTGCCAGCATAGATCGTGACGTTCCCATCTGAGGCAGTATTAAAGGTTAGTTTTCTACTCAACAAACATAAAGGAAGAGGTGCTGCACGTACTTGTCACAATTTCTTGGGATTTTGGAGTAGGTGGGAGTAGTTTGGGCTGCTGCCTGACCCACAATTCGAAATTGAAAATCCTCCAAATAAGGGAACCTGGCTAGGTGTTAGATATTTCACATAGTTGAATGTTGAATAACAGCAAACTTTACCTGTGTTATCGAGGCGGGGCCTCTTTGAAGTACGTTCATCTTCTAAATATAGGTAAATGAATAAGTCAATATGAAAATAGTGGAGTATCTAATTTTCTGATGGTATGTACCTGGTTGTAGTGCTGGATGATCGCGGGCTAGACACAAATCGGAAAATAAAAGAGCGAGTAAGATTGTGCAGTCAAAAATTGAGTGATAGTGAAAATGTGGTCTATTACTTACCAGGCAACTCGACAAACAACCAAATATTTTCAGTGAAGGATTTTCGAGCCACAGCATAATCGATTTCCTCATTTGCACCAATGAAGACCCCCACGCCATCCACACCAAAGGTTTCAAGAACTAAGGCAAGTGTGTCTAGTCCACTCAGCTCCTTCGCTTGACTCCTCAGTGCCTGCAAGTCCTCCGTTTTGTAGTCATTGATCTTCTTCACAGCCTTGACAGTCAACAAGCCATATGGCTTATCGATTCCAAAAGTATCCTTCATCGCCCTGCTAAGAGCCCTTTTAAGGTCGTCTACATCTTCCACCTCATAATCTTGTGTCGCTAACGGAACTTTGGCCCAGTCGGTTGTTTTCCCATCCACAATTAGATACCATGCCTTGGAGGGAGCAGCCATGACTGTTGGCAACAAACTAGTCAGCCTAATCTGATATACGCTTGCTCATGTGTAGGACAAGAGACGATTTACACAGGTAGAGAGCATGCAAAGTGTATCGGAAAGTACGTACCCGACAGTTCAGTAACTAAACAAAGTGGTGGCAAAAAAAAATTGTGCAGGCATGTGACTACTGAGGTTGTTGATACTAGTTTTGGAAGAGATCGCTCTACGGTCAGGTGAAGTAAATTGTACCACAATAACAAAATTTGATCTATTACATATATGGTCAAAATATTGGTATGTTTCCTGATAAAGGCTCCCTACTCTAATAAGGAAATTACTTAGGGGTAAATAATTTTCGATAG